GGAAGTTGGTTGGGTCGCTGTCGGTGGGGCTGTCGGTGGAGACGATGGCGGCGGAGGCACCGGCGGCGGCGAGCGGCAGCGGCGGCGGAGGCGAGGGCGGCGGAGGCACTGACGGCGGAGGCGAGGGCGGCGGAGGCACTGGCGGCGGCGGCACTGGCGGCGGCGGCAGCGAAGGCGGAGGCGAGGGCGGCGGAGGTGTGGGCGGTGGCAACAGCGGAGGCGAAGGTGAGGGCGGCGGAGGCAACGGCGGCGGCGGCAATGGAGGCGGAGGGGTGGGCGGCGGAGGGGCGGGCGGCGGCGGATTGAATGGAAGCGGATTGGAGGGCAGCGGATTGGAGGTGAGGCAAGGGCAGAGGCGGCGCCAATCTGGCCACGCGCTAAAGCACGGTGAGGTGTTGCCGTAAACACACCTCACCGTGCTGCCCTCGGGCGGGTCAACGCGCACGAAGAGGTCCGGCCGATGAACGTACTCGGTGCATCCAAAACCCCAGCCGACCGAGATTGCTTCCATCTGCGCCTCTGTCGTCGGCCAGACGGTTTTCGGCCACTCGTCGGCCGGCCAGGGCGGGCGGTTGGGTGTCTCGTCGGCGCAAAGCATGCCGAGCGCGCTGCAGGAGTCGGTGCAGCTGCCACCCTCGTTCTGGGACCAGATGAGCGGCGGCTGTGGCGGGTATGGAGGTGGCGACGGGACCGGAGGCGGTGCTATCTTCTTGTACGCGTACTGGTCTTCCGCTGTCGCTCGCGTGTCATCCCACACCTTCCTCGCCAAGCAGAAGCCTCGGTAGGCGGTTCGGCAGACCACACCTGCGCACTCATCCCATGCACCACAGACCGCGTCCACCTCTTTTTCGCGGATCGCGCACTGGTGAACATTCGTATTGTGAGGCAATTTGACGCAAAAATCGTCGTTCCAAATGCAAGGACCGCCGAACTTGTTTGCGTACTCGACACCCTCGAGGTTGCCGTAGCATTGAGGTGCCGAGCCAGGCTGGCCGGCGCCGACGCGTTGGAAGAGCACGGGCGCGTGAGTACCAGTGCCAGAGCCAGGGGTTGAGCGCAAGGTTCTGAGCGCTTGGTTCTGAATGTGTTCGTCGTCGTCGCCGGGTTCGGTCGTTACCGGCGCCGCCTCGACGATCAACAACAGGCCAGCGGCAACAGCCAGCAGCATCTCACAAAGCTTTGTTCCTGCTTTGGTCCTTCAAAAGCGGGCCGTCTTACTTTTTCATCCCTTGTCACGCTCGCGGGACGTCTGGCGAGTGAGACCACGCTTGTTGTGTACGCCCACCAGCCCAGCTGGCTGTGTGTCTTGTGAGCTTGTTTGTGTCTGTGTGTCGTCACTCAATCAACGTGTTCGTCACCTTCTGTCCCCTCCATTCAAGCTGGGCGCGGTATCTGCATATCCCCTCCAGGCAACCTCCTCGATCCCACTCCCGGAGCCCCTCGAGATACTTTATTCTTTAAACTCCCTTGAAGATCTATCTGTTGTCCACGAAGCTCTAAGTGCCGGGGCTCCAGGCCCCAAATGATGTTGTGTGTAGTGTTGGAGTTGTTTGGCACGGGGAACGCACTGGCACTAAAGAATTTTACTAAAGAATTTTTTACAACTAAACACTCTTATTTCGAAGTAAGCGAGAGCGTCTTTCGCACAGAATTTGAATTACATAAACGAATCTTGAGAACACCCTCAAAAAGAAACGCGACTCTTCTCTCTGAGAGCAACAACCTAGTAGACAAACGTACAAAACACTCAAACGTACCGGAGGACTAGTCGACATGACTGCACATTCAGACGCTTCATTGAGCTCCGCGTCTCACCTTCGCTGTCTGACCTAGCGGCGCCGTCGGTCCCCGTCGATCCCCGTGCCTCTGCGCGCCTGCGCGCGCCATAGCTACATGCACTTCAGCCGAATCTCGCCTTCAGCGTGTGAGCACACCGACTCGGTACTCAAAGGAGATGCGCGGCTCCGCCGCCTCCGGGGAGGCCGGGTCCCTGAAGGCTGTGTGAAAGGCTGGCATCGTCGCCGCGGCGTCGCCCTTGGCGTGCTGGAACTGCCGAAAGACGAGGACCTCCTCAGTGGTCATCGCGGGGTAGTAGTACCATCGCTGCCGCGCGTTGTGCTTCAGGCCCGTGATTTGTGTCGCCCTCGGGTCATCCAGCGCGCCAATGTTGTGCTCCACAAAGTCCTCGGCCGTCACACTTTTTGCGTCGCACACGCACAATGGCGCCGACTCGACTGGCTTTGTGCTCGGTGCGATTGGGCGCCACAGATTGCACACAAGGAGGGAGGAGTAGTCGCAAGTCTCGAGCAGCTCCCGCTGCTGCCCCATGCGAGGGACAAGCCTCTTGGCCCTGTTGCAGGCCTTGTCAAGGTCGAGCGGGAGGTCGTTGTGGACAGTCCGGGACGCGCCCTTTCCCGAAAAGATGCCGTTTGCGCTTTTGCGAAGAAACCCAAACGACGGCAGCTCAAACGAAGCAGCCTCCGGTATCAAGGACTGCAGGATGGCCTCGGCCTCGTGCGACCAAATGCGGCGAACGGGCGTATCGGCCGTCATGTACTTTTCATCCCTTGCGGCAGTCTCGCCCTCGCCGGGGTGCTCTTTCAAATCGACGTCCGAGTGCTGCCAGTCCGCTGCCGTCATAGCAGTTCGGTGCTTGACGAGTATGAAGCCATGCTTCGCGAAGAAGTCGGCCGCTGACATGCCTTGCTCCTCCATCTCGAGTCGCTGAAGCACACGGGCGTCGCCCATCTCGCACTGAGTCCCGCGTAGCACTGAGTTCGAGAGGGCGGCGAAGCTCTCCAAGACATGCCCGCCCCGTAGGAAACGGAAAAACTCCCTCGGGCTCTTGGTGACCATCCAGCGCAAGTCCTGGACGACCACTGGGGGAGAGTTTGGAGGGGCGAAGCCGGTGAGTTCTGCATGCACGACAACTGGCGAGGCTAGCGGAGCCGGACACGCTGATTCCTCTGCGATCACAGAGAGGCGTTTGATGGCAGGACGCTGCCGCGTGCGCGCCGAACCGCGGCGCAGCCTGAGGATGAGTGCGCTCGCCAGCACAGAAGTGGCGGCGGCGACGGAGGCGGCAAGAGTGGCGAGCAAGACATTGAGCTGGCCCGAGCGAGGAGCCAGCGCAGCGCTCCGGAGTGTCACCCGTGCCGGCGACAGCAACCGGGCCGCGGTGAGCGACATCATGGCTTGAGGGGCTTGGAGCAAGGACCAAGGGCTTCAGCTGGGATTTTCTCCGAGTGATTTTTCTTTTTTTGGCCCCGTTTTTTGCTTGGCTGAGCACAGGGTTCCAACTTTTTCCGGGGTATGGTATGGTACGCTCGCGGCCCAAAGGGTGGGGGGGTATGGTCCCGACCGCCCATCCCCGGTCTCCGGGAGGCTGGGTCTGTCAGCAGGCGGGGGGGTATGGTCTCGAGCTGAACCATACCATACCCCGCAGAAAGTCCAAACCCAGGTCCGCGGCGGGGAGTGTGGGTGGTGTGTATATGGGCGTCTGCGTTGACAGAACCTCCGACTGGCGCGCGGCTGTTCGCGCCCAGCGGCAGCGGATCGGGCAGAGCACGCCGTCCGACGAGCTACTCCGGCGTCCGCGACCCGCCCGCGACGCATTCTGCGCCGGCGCGCTCGAGGCTCACAGCAGGATTGGCGAAATGGTGCGGCGGCTGCGCGCCAGCCACGCCGCCTATGTGCTGGACGACGGCCTGAACGGGCTCACCGAGGCGGAGCGGGACGCGCTCGATGGTGAGGGCGAACGGGTACTCGGCTCGAGCCGCGAGGCCATCGAGCGGCTCGCAAAGTCTCTCGCAAAGTCCGTCGGCGGCGGCGCGAGCGCGCGTGAGGCGGACTCTGGCGACGCCGTGGCAGGCGAGGCGGTCGAGACGCGCGGGGGCGAACGCGGCGGGCAGCCGCAGCAGCACCGGAAGGCGATGCTCGACTCACTCAACGACGAGCTGCGGGAGCTAGGGAGGCGCCTGTGTCCCACACCCGCGCCTCTCCTCCTCTCCTCTCTCCTCCTCTCCTCCTCGCCTCTCCTCCTCTCCTCCCCTCCTCCCCTCCTCCTCTCCTCCTCTCCTCCTCGCCTCCTCGCCTCCTCTCCTCCTCTCCTCCCCTCGCCTCCTCCGCTCCGGCTGACCGCAGCCCCACGCCTCCCCACCGCACGCAGGCTGCGCGATGCCCAGCGCGCGAGCCGGCTCAAGCGAGCCATGGAGGCGCTCGAGGGGCGGCTGAGCGCCGATATAAAGCCGCCTGCGCACCAGTTCAGCGAGGCTGGGAACAGGTGCGGGAGGGGCGACTCGGAGCCGCGAGTGCGGCTTCGGCCTCGGCCGCCCCTGGCTGGGGCGTGCGCGGAAGCGCCGGCGGCGGAGGCGGCGGAGGCAGAGGCGGAGGCGGAGCGTGCGGGAGCGAGCCATTGCCGCCGGAGGAGAAAGCGATTCATCGCTCCTCCGTCACTCTCCTCCATCGCTGAGTAGGAGCGGCCTTCCGCCGGAGGAGTGGCGCGGCGCCGACGTGCTCGAGGACGAGCCGCTCGACCAGGACGAGGAGAGGGAGATGCGGCTCGAGAATGCGGCGATCCGGGCGGAGCTCGAGCAGCAGGACACACCTCCGAACGCACCTCCGACGCACCTCTCCCACACACCTCTCCCACACACACCTCCCACACACCTCTCCCACACACCTCTCCCACACACCTCCGACACACCTCCGACACACCTCCGACACACCTCCGAGATGCGAGGGATAGCCCACGCCTGAGTCACACCAGCGTGTGGAGAAGCGCTGGCCCCACCCTAGCCTCGCCTCGCCTCAGGTCGAGCTGGCGCGCCGAGCCGAGGCGTGCTGCTGCACGCGTCAGTCTTGATGGCCTCCTTCTCCTCTCGTCACACCGGTCTCTGTGCAGGCGTCGATGCTCGAGGTGTCGAGCCTGTCGCACATGTTTGCGTCAAAGATCGAGCAGCAGTCGCACCAGGTCGAGACACTCTTCACCGACGCAGAGGCGCGCCGCGCGAACGCGCGAACGCGCCTCGCTCGCCCCCCGCCCTCCGCACGCCCCTCACCTTCCGCGCTGCAGTAAGCAGCCTTTTTAAAGACCCCCCCCCCCCACACACACACACCACGCCCGAGCTGCTGGCGTGTGGGTTCGGGAGACGTGGCCTGAATCCACACACGGGGACTCACCCTCTCGCCTCCCTCTCGCCAGTCGACCTCCGAGAACCTCACCCTCGGCAACCGATACATCGACTCGGCCGCAAAGCACTCGCGCGACTTCCGGCTGCTCGTCCTCACCTTCCTGCTCGTCGCCTCGCTCTCCCTCATCTTTTTGGACTGGTACTACCCTTGACGAGTGTTGGGCTGCTGCTCGGCTGCGCGCTGCTGCAGCGGGACACGGTGCTCGACGTCGAGCTGTGCGGGCACGTGTGGAAGGTGCTCGTCGGCTCGCCCTTGAATGAATCCTTGACGGTCATGAGTGTGTTGATTCACCCGAAATAAATAAAAAGAAGGCAATCGAGGGAGAAAGCAGAAAAACACAAAGACAGGGACCTGTGACACAGGGCCGAGCAGGGTCCTGCTCCTCCCCACTCGACCCCAGCCCTCCCCACCTGCACGAAATAAATAAATAAATAAAACGGACACCTCTGGTAGGAGATGGGTAAAACACCTGCACGAGCAGGATCTTGGGCTCTAGATTTCTCCTGGACAATTCTTTTTTCTAGTGTTAGTGCCAGTGCGCGCCAGTCCCGCGTCGCTGCCCGCGCCATGCTGCCGTCCACACGGCGTCACCATTAGTGTCACCCCACCATTCACACCAGTAGACGGGCGTGAGACTATTACGTCCAATCAGCCCAATTGGCCCAATTGGGGATCCGTCGGGGTGTTCGTATCTTCATTCCCATAACGAGTGCAGAATAGCGCCCAGAGGCCCGAGCCTGGCGGCCGCGCCTGGACTCGCCACCGTGGGGGCGGGCGTTATCGCCCGCTCCCCGCGACGTGGTAGCGGCGGGGCCACGTCCCGCCGCGCAACCTTTGCGCAACCTATGATTCTCAAAGAGCCCAACACCGTCAAACTCCGTCTGTCCGCACCGACATCAAACACCGTCAACATCGTACTGATGCTCACATCCGTCCTCGGCTACAATCTCCTCTGCAGCATGCCTACTGCGCCCTACGGAGACCGAGGCGGAGGACTCGGAGTCAACCCACTGCGACTTACGCCCACGCTCAATACAACCGAGCAACCCGTCATCCTCGACCCAATCGATTCAACCTGTTCGACAAAGCGTTACGACGACCAGTGCCGCGGCCAGATCAGCCACGCCAGAGAGTACATTCCTCCCTGGCTGATTCCCCTCTGGCCCAGCGAGCCTCGTCAAGTTGCATCAAGTTCCTACGTCAAATCAACAGGCGGACGAGCCCTCAACCGTCCCGACATCTGCGAGCAGCACCAGCCGCGCCAACATCAAGGTCAGAGCCAGTGCCAGAGCCAAGACCAACGCCACGACCAGAGTCAATGCCAGAGTCAGCACCAACGCAAGCAGAGCCGACGCCAGTACCAGGGCTACACGAGCCAGAGTCACGAGCAACAGAGCCAACATAGCCGAGGTCAGCACCAATGCATCTGCCAGAGTCAACGTCACAGTCAGCGCCAGCGCCAGCGCCAACACCAGAGCCAAGACCAATGTCACGACCAAAGTCAATGCCAGAGTCAGCACCAAAGCAATCAGAGCCGACGCCAGTACCAGGGCTACACGAGCCAGAGTCACGAGCAACAGAGCCAACATAGCCGAGGTCAGCACCAATGCATCTGCCAGAGTCAACGTCACAGTCAGCGCCAGCGCCAGCGCCAACACCAGAGCCAAGACCAATGTCACGACCAAAGTCAATGCCAGAGTCAGCACCAAAGCAATCAGAGCCGACGCCAGTACCAGGGCTACACGAGCCAGAGTCACGAGCAACAGAGCCAACATAGCCGAGGTCAGCACCAATGCATCTGCGAGA